TTGAGGGTTATAGGAGTTAAGCGTTAATTGTTAAGGCAATGATCAAATTTAATGTATAAGTAAAGTCATCCGTAGATCATTTTAATTGGTTTTATCCTTTCTCGAGGAATCGTTCTCTCCTTTAACACCATCGACGTAGATCAATTTATCAATTGAACAATGATATTGCCTTATTATTTAAAAGAAAAAGAAAAAAAAAGGGAGGTTGATATCCGAAGTCGATATTTGATTTCTATGACGTTCAACAAACACAGCTTTGATTATAATCGCTGACCAAAAAAAACAAGGAAAAGGACAAACGTTAGATGAAATTAGGCAGCAATGTCATGCATGAAACTATAAATACAATGATCACAGAAGAAAGTTTATTATCGAGAGGGTAAAGTTGAGAAAAAGTAATTCAATTAATTATTCGTCCTTACGAACGTAATCTTTTCGATGTAAAATGATACATTAAACAAGGTTTCGTAGTTACACAGCAATTTCAATACAATTGGCAAAACGCGAAATTATTAAATCTCTTTCTTTTTAAACGCGCAATTTAAGGTTTTAGAAAGTAACATCATTCCTGAGAAAATCCTTGATCGTAACATTTAAGAAAAAAAGAAAAAAAGCATTTGTTCGTTAATATTGTCCTATCCAACGTCTTCCGATTATTGTTACGTGACCAGTATGCAGTACACAGTGAGTTACAAAAATATCACGGATAGTAAAGTACATTTGATTTTAACGCTGTACATCTTTCTTCTTTTTTTTTTTTTTTGTTTAATTATCAAGGGAATGAACTCGGAATTCACGTTAAAAAAAAATTACAGGTACTGCAATTCTTCCACTTTTCTCTTTTGGAGACAAAGCAGTTAAAGTCGAAGCACTCAATCGAGGATTTTCTTTTATTTTTCGTTTTTTTCCCCTTCATTCTTGTCTCCGTTTTTTAAATCTAGCCGACAACATTAGCTTCTATATTTTGCTTCGAGGCAATGTAGGATATTTATTATCTTCTGGAAACAAACCTGTAATACAACGTTGTTTGAAATTTCTAATATGTATCGAAATTCTTTGAATTTATCTCATAGCTAAGAAATCATTCAATACGATGTAAAAAGATATTGCACTGTAATGTGCGAAATGTTCATTTTTAAGTTGAAATAAAAATGCTTCTTTTTGACACAATTTTATTAATCAAAGTGTACACACTCGAACTTGACTTGGAATGTTTCTTTTTCAATTTTTTCTCCATAAAAATCTTTCTAATCGTACAATTACTCATCCTACCTGGCAGATCATTGATGTAAAACAGATATTTTGTCTAGGGTGCTTGCAAATGGATATTTCATACATTACAATTTCTCATTTCTTTTTTTTTTTTTTTTTGCTGCAAAAGAACAGTGTCAAAAATGCATTAATTTGTAATATGAAATGTAGCAAGCAGAGAAATGTTAAAATATTAATGACCAAAAGTTAAAACAGCAAAGGCAAACAACATGTTTCCTGTGAAATGATTACAATTTTTTATTCATTCCCCTTTTTCGTTAAATAATGTAAAGTATTGATAGGAGGTTCGTGAAAAATTAATAGATGTACGATAATTAGGTGCGTTATCGATTTGTTTGAGTTTAAATAATCGTTATTCAAAACATGTGTAAAATAGATATAACAATGATGACCATGTGTGCATTTTTATTAATTACAACCATTTTTATTTTCCGTTCGCCGGAGAAATTATACACATTAAAAGCGCGTCCGCAGAAACGCAAAGCTCTCATTTGCATGTCGAGAAGAATCTCGTTAATGTTGTAGTTAAAGATGAAACATACGTGACAAATGAAAATACATCGTGAAAATTTTACAAGTCCGTCATATACTTTCATCCAACTCCTAACATTCTTCCGATTCTCCTCTCCGATCTCTTCCATTGTCATTTTGCAAATTAAAGTGATATATGTATACTTGTGTATATCATTATCGATACGGCGATCTTGAAAACTATTTTTTCGTATATCATCAAGAAATTATTTTATTATTTTTTTACACTA